CAGGACTCAAACCGCAGACAGCTGTGTGGGAGTCCGGCATCTTAACCATCATGCCACCTGCTAGCCCTTATTATAGACCATTTTAAAAACCTCAAGTGAGCAAACAGAATTCACCATTATTCTAGTTTCCCTTCCCAAACAAGGCTACTTCTTTTAGGTCTTCTGGTTGTACTCTCTATTATCAGAAATTTGCTTTCCAACAGTGCACTGGAATTCTCTATTAAAAGTCTAATTGTAAGGAACAATGGAAGAGAACTGTAGCTTATACTTCAAGAATCTTCTGATAATATCATGCTATGATAATAATAATATTATTATGGCGAGTAAAAGAAAACATTGCAGGCATACAAAATGTATGCCCCAAACCTGCAAATGTTTCTCCAGAATGGCATGGCTTGGATTTTTGAAAGGTGAGGAAAGTCTCTACTTAAAGGCCACACAGAGACCACATGAGAGCAATGGAAGTGTGGTAAAGGCCACACAGAGACCACATGAGAGCAAAGGAACTGCAGGAGCTCACGGGGTCTGGGCCTCAGCTCATGCACGAGTGGGGCAAAACCACAGCTGATGCTGTGACTTCTGCCAAGTAAGTCCACTGAGATCAACTCAAGAAGACGACTTCTCCAGTAAAGTGGCTGAAAGCCAGCCCTACCAATGAATTCCCCCCGGGGGATTGGCCACACTGCAATCCCTTCTCCTCCGTCCTCCTCTTACGACATGGCATGATTTCTTATTTTACCTCTCTCTGTGACTCTCTGTCTCTGGCAAGCATTACAGTCAATATGCATTTGTAGAATGTTTTTATTATTCTACAAATGCATATCAGGAACCTATAACATCTTCACACTATTAGATCAACTAAGCTGTCCTAAGATAAAACACAAAATCAGAAAAGCATGATGCACGAAGACATACCTCAGAGCACTATGTAAAACAGGTAAGAGGACCAGCCGATGGCGTAGTGGTTAAGGCAACTGAGTACTACAGTATTAATACATGGCCAGCTTCACCATTTGAGTCCCAGACCCTGTGGCTTGAGAAATACCCTGGGCATGTGTGTTTGCCTTCAGTCCCTAAAAGGAGAGAAAAATGGAGAAGAGATTATGGCATGACCATGCCCATGGAGGGTTCTTTCTTGCTTTCTCTCTCTCTCTGGTTTTCTCTGGTGATCACATGTGTGTACCCTCTGGCAAATTAAAAATAAATCAATAAATAAAAGAAAAGAAAGAAAGGAGTAATCTAGGCTAGCCCATGGTGCAGCAGTTAAGCCCTCTGTGTAGAGAGCCAGATCCACATGACTGATCCCACTTCAAATCTCAGTCCTGGCAGCTTGAAAAACATGCTGGGAGGGACCAGCAAAAGACGTGGCTGGACTCTCACTTGGCTGACTGTGGTGTGAGTCCCAGACCTGGTGACTTGCTTTCACGCTTTCTCTGTCTCTCTCTGGTGAGCTCATGTGCCCTACAGGAAATTTTTAAAATAATAGTAATAAATAAAATTAAATAAATAATTCTAAAAAGAAAGAAAGAAAGAAAGGAAAAAAATATGTGGGGCATGTGTGCAAAATCCTGTTGGAATGAGGAAGTGGAAGAAAAAGGATTGCAGTGTGACCAGGCCCCATGGGGTGGGTGCTCTCTCTGTCTCTCTCTCTTTCACAAGTGTACACACCCTCTGGTTATTAAAAATATAAAAAAGAAGAAGATGGAGGAGGAGAAGAAATCTAAATAAGAGAATGGAATAGAAAAGCGTAGGACACATGGGCCGGCCAGGTGGTGTGTGGTTGAGGCGGCTGGATCCCACATAGACAACTGCACAGCTGAGTCCTGGACCCAGCAGCTTGGAAAACATGCCAGATGCATGTGCACGTGTGCCCAAAATCCCAAGAGGAGAATGGAAGAGAAGGGAATACGACTACATGGCCTTCCCCCCGGGGAGCTGATTTCTCACTTTCGCTGTCTCTCTCTCTCATCTCTATCTCTGATGAGAACACACACTATTATATAGCAAATACTTAAAAGAAATAAAAGGGGAAAAGTATAGGATGCAGTATGTAGCCATTCAAATAATATTTATGAAAATACATTCATTCATGAGTACATTTTACTATCTTAATGTTGTTTTCTTTTGTCAAAGGAAATAAAGTTAAAAGTGAATAAATAGTATGATTTCTATTTTATTAAAAAAAGCATTTTTAAAAAGACAAAAGATTCTAATACATATTAATAGACATTAACTATAAAAGATATATTATCATTGAATTTTAAGGGCTCAATAATTTTTCCATATTTTAAACTTTCTAAGAAGCACCTATTACATTTATAATCATAAATTAAGAATTATATGCATGCACACGCACACTCGCACACATACAACTTCTTTTCATCCCAAGCTTCCTCTATGTGGAAAATTGCTTCTCAGAATAACTTTTGCAAGAGAAGTCCAAAAAGCTCCGTGTATTTTTTTTGCTAGGGCTGCGAACCACCACAGATTTCAAGAAAATCTGCTTAGCCAACAGAAATTAATTTCTCACACTTCTGGCAACTGGAAATCTGAGATCAAAGTGGTAGTAGGTTTGGTTTCTCCTGAGGCCTCTCCTGGCCTATGAGCAGACACCTCACTGCGTCCTCACGTGGCCTTTGCTCTGTGCTTCAATCCCTGGCATCTCTTCCTCTCCTTGTAAGGACATCAGTCACATTGATTAGGGCTCTACTCTTTTGACCTCAGGTCACTTTAATTACCTTTTTGAAGTCTCCGTCTCCAAATACAGCCACATTGGGGGTTAGGGATTCAACACAGGAATTCTCAGTCGTTATTTTTTTTTTTTTAGTTTGCGTATTTATTTTTTATATATTCAACCACTGTATATCCTTACAGCTTATAAAATTAATTTTTCCAGCATGAATACACTGCATATTAGTCTAGTTAAAGGTATTATCGTACACATTATCATCAACAGCTAAGTTTCCATTTTTGTAATCCCTTACATGTTTGGCTTCTTTTTTCCCTTGATTCCCTTCCTCTCACTCAGTCGTTAACTTAACATGCCCAAATCTCCCTGGATACAGAGATGGATACCACCAAGTCCCTACCTGCATGGTGTTTTCATTTTAATGGAAGAGAGGGCGAATAATCAATAAGAAAAATGCTAGGAATACCATGGGAAATTTTAAAGCAGGCTTAAGTGTACAATGAGCAGTTACAGAAGAGAGGTTGTTGAATCGGTCTGGGAGGCAGAGGTTTGAGGACTTAAGACCTAACAGGTAAAAGCTCATTTTTCTTTTTTCTTTCTTTTATTTTTGAGAGGTTTTTGCTATAGAGTGTGTGCGCTTGCCAGACAGACAGAGAGAGACAGAGAGACAGGAAGTGAGACATCACCCCCCAGAGGGGGATGGCCACACCACAATCCCTTCTCCTCCATTCTTCTCTTGGGATCTTGGGCACGCATACACATGCACCCGGCGTGAGTTTTAAGCCACTGGGCCCAGGACTGGAACCGCGGTCAACTACATGTGAGTCCAGCAACATAGCCATTATGCTAACTGCTGGTCCTGAAAGTTCTGTGCTAATCTGTGCTGTTATCTGTGCTCAAATTTGCACTTACCTTACACGTCATGTGAAAATGTTCAGCCTTTCTTGGCCTCTGGGGACCATCCTTCCATACAAATGTGTAAGTCTGGGGGTTCACTCTAGTAATTTTGACTCTTTCCTGAGATGACACTTTCACCCTAAATATTTAAGACTTTGTTTAAGCCATAGCTATGAAGGAGTGCTGTTTAAATTTTTTTAAGAGAGATTTTTGCTTTAGGGCTCATGAGCTCACCAGAGAGACAGAGACAAAAAGCAAGAAATCGCACCCCCCACCCCCCAAAGAGGGGAGCGGGATATGGCCATGCCACAATCTCATCTCCTCCATTCTCCTCCCAAGACTTCGGGCATGCACCCACATGCATCTGGCACGAGTTTTAAGCCACCAGCCGACTATGTGGGAGTCCAGCAATGTAAACATTACGCCATCTGCTGGATCACTGAAGGAGCACTTTCTATGGGCTTTCTTGTCACTGTATCCTTTCAAAAGTCACACTCAGAATTCAGTGAAAAATCAGAAAGAACTTGATCCAGATATGGGCTTTGCTAACCTCCAAGTCTTTTGACTTCTCTTGCCTCATTGGTATGTATTCACAATGAAAGAAAAAAAATCAATGTATGCTAAACACTTAAACTTTTTTGTTTACTAAAAGTTTTTGCTATAGGCAAGAGTTCGCCAGAGAAACAGAGAATGCAAGTGAGAAATCACCCCCTGGGAAAGGATGGCCATGCCACAATCCCTTCCCTTCCATTCTCTCTCAAGATTTTGGGCAAGCACACACACATCCCTGTGTGATTTTCAAGCATCCAGGTCCCGTACTCAAACCACGATCAACCATGTGGGAGTCCAGCGTCATGACCACCATGCCAACTGCTGGCCCCTGAATACTTAAACCTTAATGCAGTCTATAACTCTGTCCATCTTCTGCTTTAAATGTATTTTTAGAGAAGTCTCTGAAGAGATATGAGTTTGTTTCTACACATATGCTTAAAAAGGCAAAAGCAAGCATTTTTAGATCATAAATATAATAAAATACTTTATATATTGTTTAGGCATGATTATTTTACTATAAATGCTTCCATTTCTTGAGTGTTAACATTTTTCCCTCTGTTAGTTTGCCCAGAGTCCATAAGCCCATGTATTTCAAGCCCACTGATTTTCAGGTTACCCATCCCCACTCTCTACGACGCGCCGCAAAAGTGCTTGGTGGATTTTGACACAGGCAAATGGAAATGAAAGATGCTTTAATTTAGATGTCAACCTCCTGTGCTTTTTGTTTAAAACATAGAAAAGGTTTTCTTGAACTTCACATTTGTGACTGATGTGCTGTTATATGCTGTCAGCATAATGTGTCTGAGTGAAATAATGCCAAATTTTAAGTGAAGTTTTCTGTCCGTATCACGACCTGTTACAGAACGAATACCTAAATGAAGATGTCGATGCTAGAGTTATTGAATACGAAGACAACCGGCCCCTCTTAGATATGTTTCTGCAGAAGCCAATGGGTTTACTCTCCCTGCTGGATGAAGAAAGTAGATTTCCCAAGGCCACCGACCAGACTCTTGTGGGTGAGTTAAAACCCACTATGACTGCATGATTTTATGAATACAGTGATGTATTAGGTTGTCAGAAAAGTCATGATTCATTTCACATATAAAAAAATGCATCATGACTTTTCCAACTACCCAGTAATTCTAATAGTTTTCAAATTGTTTTAAATTCTAGGGAAAAAAATAGCTGTCACAAAAAGCCTGCATATCTAAATTTATTTTTCCACTTTACTTTTGCTAGAGGCTAAGTTGTACCTAATTAATAGTCTATATATTTCGTGACTCTCACCAGAGACAGAAGAAGAGAGAACGAATCCCCTGTGGGGAATGGTCACACTGCAGTCCCTCCTATTCCATCTCTCCCTCTTCTGGGGATTTTGGGTACACACACACACACACAAGCCCAGCATATGTCTCGAGCCACTGAGTCTGGGACTCAAACTATAGTTGACCACGTGGGATCCACCTGCCACAGAGCTGGGCCCTGTATACCTGACTTTAAAGAAAAGGTTCTAGGGCCAGCAGATGGTGTAGAATTATGTTGCTGGACTCCCACATGGCCAACTGCAGTTCATGTCTGGACCTGGTGGTTTGAAATTCACTCCAGGTGCATGTGCATGCATGTCCAAGATCCTGGGAGGAGAATGGAGGAGAAAGGATTACAGTGTGGCCATCTCCAGTGAGGGGTGATTTCTCATTGTCTTTGTCTTGCTCTCTCAAGTGCATGTGCCCTAAGGCAAAAACCTCAAAAGGAAGGAAGGAAAGAAGGAAGGAAGGAAGGAAGGAAGGAAGGAAGGAAGGAAGGAAGGAAGGAAGGAAGGAAGGAAAGAAAAGGTTTAAAAGCTAATATCTGGACCAGTAAATGTTTATAAGAGAGTCAAATATTTATTGATGAATTATTAGGATAGTAGACTTTTCCTTATTTTATGGGAAAGTCCCAATCATAGAATAGAATTTTTGCTTAGAAAAGAAATTATAGGGGACTAGCAGGTGGTGTGGTGGTTAAGGCACTGGGCACTCCCACATGACTGACCACAGTTCAAGTCCCACAGCTGGTGACTTGCTCTCTCTCTCTCTCTCTCTCTCTCTCTTTCTCTCTCTCTCTCCATCTCTCTCTGGTCAAATTAAAATAAATGAATAAATAAATAAATAAAATTTTTTAAAAATTCTTTAAAAATAAAAAGAAAAGAAATTATAAATTATCCATCCCAAAATTAGAAATTAGTGAACAGGGCAGAAAAGTACTTCTAGAATTTAAAAAGTTATAGCTAACAGAGAGGAAACAAATTAATATGTGATGTTTTAGTCATTTATTTAAGAGAGGCAATGGGACCAGCAGTTAGCATAATGGCTATGTTGCTGGACTCCCATGTAGTCGACCACGGTTCGAGACCTGGACCCGGCGGCTTAAACTCACACCAGGCCTGTGGGCATGCGTGGCCA